AAAGTTTGTCACTTAATAGAGTACAAGGTGAATAATTAGTCAGAGCACTTTTATAGGACATGACGACCTCTAAAGCAAGCAAACCAATATCCGCTCTAAGATACGTCCAGTATTATGCAACATAATTATTAGAACAAGTCGCTCGAATAATTACTGAACGGAACATTCATTTATCGACGCTAATAACAGAGGAAGAATTTCCGTAATTAGTACAAAATAAGAGTACAATATAGAAAGCCAATATTACTAAAGAGAACATGTGAGTAATTATTGTTCTCCATTTCAATAAGACCTGATTGACGCCAAGTAATATGATAGCGTGATCAAAGATATTAATACAGTTTATACAACAAATATATGAGTGGGAAACTGCTGGTGAAATTAATTTGCTTCACATCACACAGAATTTTGTGATAACTTTTCTGAAACTTATTTAATTTATTTCCCCCATGTAACCCATGATGGATGACTTTCATTATTCACTTCTATGTTACATTTTAAACACAATGCATTTCGTTTCCTTTTTTATATTTCAGTTTGTTTCATTATACATTACCTATTGTGTCGTTAAAACAAATTGTTTTACCATGAACTACAACAACAACAAAATCGTAATACGGAAAACAATCGCTAAAAGCAAAAATAAGAACGAGAACAAAAATATCTATAAGAAATGTGTAATAAAGAACTAATTCTTTATGATTATTTATAATAAACGCTGTCTCATCTGTCATCGAAAAAAAAAAACAACGTTTTCTGCTATATATTTCTTACCAAATCTTGCGCATATTCTGACATCTGTCAGCAGCAGTATCGACCCAATCGTTGTAAAAAGTCAAAAACGCTATCATGTAAAATATTAATTACTAATGAATATTATAGACGCCCGTGTCAACTACACAAGTCCTGTCGGTGCTACTTAAATTAGAAAACAGCTGGAAGGCAACATCAATAATAAGTTGAAAACCAGAAATTTCAGAAAAAATAGCCAAAATTGGCAACGGACATCTTTAATTTGTAATGTGATGAACAAACATGGTGGTTAGAATGACTACAAAATTTTAGTTGTAGTACAGAAAGTGACTGTATCAATGATACTACATACCAGCAGTGTAGGCTGGTGCAAGGATAGTATTAACCTCGAGGACAAAAAGCCAATATGTTGATGTTTTTTTTTTTTTTTTTTTTTTTTTTTTTTTTGATCTTCTGGTTCTGACTTCTCTCCAGTGATATGGCATGCATGTTTGAATGTCCTTTCAGTGTTTGACTAACAGTATGATCTTTTCTGAAATTATCGGAACAGTAAATTAATATTTGATTTGGGAATTGCCTTATATTGAAAGCATACTATACTTTCTTTTGGTCATTCTTTATATGTCTATTTTAGTTATATAGTTCCTTAAGGATTCAAGTACTGTAAACCAACTTATTTTCGCGGATACTTTATTTCGCGTTTTACCCTTTGTAAACCACTTCGCGGCTATTTACTTTCGCGATTTCTTGACTTACTTGATGAAGTTTAATAAGGAATTATCCAAGTTATACATAATCGCGACGATTTATATTCGCGTTATTTTTCTACTCACGAAAGTCGCGAAAATAAATCGCTCGCAAAAATAAGTTGGTTTACAGTATTTATTTATCCTTGACTTTTATTTTTCTTAGTTGAGACTATGAGGATGTTGGAGTGTTCTTGATAAAGGTATATTTAAAACAAAATTCGCTTCGGACATACCACATTTAAGAAGTGTTCTTTTCTTCTTGTAGCACAGGGTAACCGGAGGTATCATCAGTTCAGCTGCAGCACTAACATGATTTGTTAGAGAAAACGCTAGTTTGCCTATGTTCAAATTTGGTAACTCCGTTCAGACGATGCAAAGCAAGTTTAAAAACAAAACACGATGAAATCGCATTAACCTCGATCGGGTCGAGACAAGGTACGTCGACAAGGAAAGTGTTTCCTACTATGATAGAATCACCCGGCATGCTAATCAAGCTCAGTCAAAACCTCCCTATGAAGAATAATACAGAATGATAATTTATAATTAGACGACTATTTTGGTATCTAAAGATCTAAGACCGCAAACATATGTCGCTTGTGAGTTGAAACACATCATCATCGGAACAGTTAACCAATTAGTGATTGGAACCGCAAAAACTTTTGTAATATAGATCTCAGACACTCAAACCTATAACCTTTTGTGTTCGGAAAAAACTCCTTTAATAGAAGCATTTATATTGAGAAGATCAACGCGTGTAAAATATCAGTTAAGAAGTGCGAACGTCGTACGATGGAGCGGAGATTATGTTATGCTGAGAGATGGGTTGACAATGGGAAAGTCGAAAATGTCTCATATGTTGATAGCGTTTGATTTTGTCAATTTTTATGGACTTCCCCTTTTTGAATTTGCCTTCGAGTTCAGTATTTTTGCTAAACGTTTTTGTCATATATTTTAAAATCGTCCATCTGTGTCAATATCGAGAAATACATCCATATATGAAACGGACCCTCTAAATTCGGCAGTTTCCTTTATTCTAAGTTCACTGTACTCATTGAAATGTGGATTATTGATAGACAAGGTATCAATATATCTAAAATTGGAATTAAATTATCTCGCAAAATGCCTTTTCTGTTTACCTTTAGCCAGTTTTTGTATGAATTTTAATTCATATGAGTACAGAAACAAGTTGGCGATGATGGGTGCACAATAAGTACCCATTGAAAAACCGATTGTTTGCTGAATAACCAATCCATCAAACTCAATCTGTTGTCGATAAAAACAAAGTACAGTATTTTGATAATATCGTCTTCGGTAGAAAGCATAAAAACAGCTATCAAAATGAAGAAAGTACTGATTTAAGAGTACTCGCAGTCGTTACTGAAAGCTAATTTGAAGCCCAATGTACACTAATCAATAGAAAAGGTTTCCTCATACTATTATATAAATCCGAATACACTGGTTTAGTGTAAAGACGTCATAAACAGTCTGAGAAAACCATAACCGTATGCAGTGTCAGTCAAAATAAAAGTTGACAGAAGGAATATTACTTGCAGATGTGGTTTATAGTCAATCGAGTTCATGGTTTTTACGTTAACGACAACAAATTAAAGTTTCGAAGACATGTAGAAGTCAATTGTCATGAATCATATGATATTAGAATTGCTGCCCACTCAAATAGAACTTGTAAAATCTTAGCAATCATCTTTCTCATTTACATTAACGACTTACCTAACTACCTAAAACACAGCTAAATAAGAGGTTTTGCTGACTGCAGCATTATTTACCGGCCTACTACCTACCAAAACGATTACGTTAAGCTTCAAGAAGACATTGAAGCAGCTATATAATGGGAGAAAGACTTGACTCATGTCATTCCACCGGGACAAATGTAACATCCTCATAGTCTCAACTAAGAAAAATAAAAGACATTTTTACTACAACATGCATGGTCACATTCTAGAACAAGTCCAATCCACAAAATATCTAGGCACCACATTCTCTGCAGATCTCAAACCGAACACACATATACAGCAATCAACAGCAAAGGCAAATCGATCCCTGTCATTCATCAGGTGAAACCTAGAGATTAACTCAAAATTAGTTAAGGAAAGAGCTTACCAAACTATGTCAGATCAAACCTAGAAAATTGTTGCACAGTTTGGGATCTACACACTTCAGAAAATATAAACAGACTTTTAGAAATGCAAAGAAAAGCTGCACGATATGCCTGCAACAGATAGCACAACACCAGCAGTGTATCTGAAATGCTACATGATCTAAACTGGCAAATCAAGTGTTCAAATAAACTGCAGGCAAAGATCCTATTTTGAGTGATGATGTCATTAAGTGGCCGAGACGCGTGTCTGGTGTAAAATGATACTGATATATCTTGAGTTTTGAAGAATTTGTTTTAAAACGATCTGGAAGATCAACATTTATGAAGCTACTGGTATTGACAGTTAGGTTTTTTTTCTCCTACATTACTTCATTATGCTTGACCCTTCATTTAAAAAAAAATATCTATCTTTGCAGACCGTCTAAAAAACAGTCAAGAAGCTCCTTGTTCTCATGAGACAACATTTGGTTTTCCTAAGAAAGGCAATTATAGGTCATGCAGCAATTCATATATACCAAGTATCTTAACTAGATATTAATGGGTTTTTTTGTCATTTTTTAATCACATGAAAAGTCTTGCATGAGACTAAGTATTCTCAATTCGACAAAAACAATGTAGTAACCTATATGTAAATGTCTAAGTCCCAGCCTCTATCGCTCCACTGGCCGCTTCCTATGGTCATAGGTTTGTTTCCTACTCTATGTATAATCATTTGTGAACTTTTGTCACAGTATCTATATTTTTTTTTATAAAAGTGTTTCAGCAAATGAAATTGTTTATACTACTGCGGGGTGTCGCACGATCGGCTAATTGTTCTTATCTAATAATCTGAAAAAATATTCAACCACAGTATTCCTGTATTACTAATTATTAAAATAACTATTATATACGAGTGTCTGGAGGGGGTCTTTCATATCTGTACTGTATTCTTTAATTTTTTATGTTATTTTTCTCTACTCTTTATTCGTTTTGCCCATGTTTCTCTGTTCTTTATATTTTAACACCCAATTATTCTCCATTCTTTTTTTATTGACCTATTTCTCTCTATTCTTTATTGTTTGACCTATTTTTCTGTAGATTTGTCCATTGCTCGGTACTCACGGTAACTTATGAAATCCCATCCAGACCCTCATATATGTCAAGCTGAAATCGCTTAAAAATTTAAGACAAATGAATAAATTTTTCATATGCTCATTATTTAACAATAACTGTCCATCGACGAACTATATTACGTATTGCAAAACGAGTATTATTGGTAATAAATATTTCTAGTTTTGGTCCTTTGTGGTGCGTTGTTGTTGAAATGTATTAAATTGTATTAGTAATATCTTGAAAGGTTCATATCGGTATCAATCTACAGATAGATAACTTTTGAAATAAAATCTGCCAGCTGATTCAGACGACATAAGGAAGAAAAGTGGTTTACATGAATAATTTTGACATGGTTTAACCAACTTAATTTAGTCGAAGACAGGTGAATAAGTATGACTGTAAAGACAAGTTTAATTATCCAAAGTTTTCACCCCTATCAGTAATTAGTCACTGTCCAGGTACAAATCATACCTGACAAGTGTCACATAACAGGTTGGGGAACGTCCTCATTAATACATTATTGGGGGTTATATCCAAAATCGAGAAGTCTAGTCAATCGAGACCTGGTTAATTCGGCACTCTAGGTGTCAACATATATTTGTTACCAATTAAACAGAGTTCAAATGGAATTTTGTTATAAACAATATGCCATAATATCTGTTTCTATTGGAACTTGTATTATAAAGGAACTTCTATTTCATGAAATAAACCTCCTCTGTGCTGTGGTAGCGTGTTGTTCCCCTCTAGTGCGGGAGGTCCTGGGTTGGTACCCCCGGCTGTATCAAACAAAAGACTTTATAAGTGGTATTTGCTGCTTCTCCGCCAAGCACACAGCACTAAGGAGTAAGAACTAAGACTGGTCAGCTCGGAGTCGGAATAATGGGTAAGGTTACATGTCTTCCAGCGGACTGTTACCTTGTGAATTAGCACATTAAAAATCCAGCTCAGCATGTCAGTCTAGTACAAAGCAGGCAGGGTTAATATTCATATTACATTAACATGTTCTCGTCCTGAATATGCACATTAATTTGCCGCTGGATGTTAAGCAGCCATCCATCATCATCATTTCATGACAACTGCACATTACTAGTATTTAACATACAAAATTGGTGCCAAGGTTAACGTATGATTCTTTTATACAAGTAGACCATGTAGACAGGTAATGCAGAAAAAACCCAATTTAAATTATAATGATTAAATTTGTTTTTATCGTCATCTGTGGATTAAACAACAGCTTGGCCATTAATGGCTTCTTTGTTTTATTTAAGTTTTTTTTTAATTTTAAAACATAAAAAACTACCTGAAAATTGTTAAAAGAATAAACGGATTATTTTTTTGTAACTGATATAAGTTCATTAGTTAATAAATTGTGTTAATTTCACGGAAAAATGAAATTGGCAGCAATTTGGAAAATTTTCTGTTTTCTGTTTCTTACTTACCTTTGGAGTCAGAAATTGATGTCTTTCCATCTCTTAAGCCTGTGTCTTATTATTAAAGAAAATATAACCCAAATTGGCCGTCCTAAAACAAATACGTTGAAAATAATGAGATATTGTCTGTTAGTTTTTCTTCTGTTTTCACAGATAAACTAAGATTATGTATAGTCTACCGAAGTAAAAGAATTAATACGTATCTCAAAGTTAAAAAAATATTTCAAATCTAACATTCTGTCACTCCTTATGAAACCCTGTTTGAACTAAATTCTGAAAGAAAGACATTTTTTGACATTGTAGTTTTTTGGTCTTACACATGGATATCAACATGTATGCACAGTGAACCAAATGTACACACACATGTGTGTTTGTTTGAAAAAACAATGGTGAATTTACCTGTAAAGTTGACTGAATTAATAATTCTCTTTAAGTTAAATATTTGACATTTCAACTTAACTGAAACAATAAGGTATGGTAATGTTATACATATATTTGCATAACCTTGAACCAAGATGACTGGAAAAAATCATGCATTGTTGATATTTAATATTTTTGTGATGAAGGACTCCTGTAAAAGCATTGAATACAAATATTACATGTACAATGGAAACATAAAAGTCTTGTCCTTTGAACTTAAAGCAATCTCTATAGATCTGACTAAATATGCATTTTAATCACTCTTATTGAAAGTATTTTCATAATCACATGAAGTGTGACTTATTTGTGTTCCAAAAAAAATAATCATTGACTCAATTAGCACTCAAAAACTGCACTGAAATAGGCCTAGTTTTTTTGTTTTTTTTAAATAAAAGAAGAAAAATATGATGTATTCGCAAGTTCATGATTTACCATTTAAATAATTATCCATTAGTTTAGGCTTCTTTTTTACAATTTGAGTCTCTTCCGTAGAACCTGTATGGAATTAATGAGGCACAATTTATAGTTATATTCATTGAGTTTAATAAATGTATGTATTTAGTTTAATTAATAATCATACACAGATTGCAAACCAATTTCCTTTTATTTTAGATTATGAAGAAATTTACATTGAGATAACTTTGATTATAACTTTTTTTAAATACAATAACCATGATAAAGAAAAAGGTATTGCAAGGGAATTCAACATTAGATTTGACATTTGAATCCTGTCTTGATTCAGTATTTATGCATATTTTGGCTAGCCCTAGCCTTTATGAAGTAGAAATTTATTTCTGTGTTGGTATTATTCCGTTACAGCAGTAAAAATATCTACCAAAATATTAGAGTAACTCATGGAATAATATAGTATGTCACAGAGTAATTGCAAAGCCTAATTTCAGTCCTGGAACTGTTTTAAAAAGGATGAAATATGTTTACCTAAATGTTTTACATGTATCTGTAGTATAAAATATATTTAGTAAAAAGGTAATTAACTATTTTAATTATGTTCACTTGTAAATAACAGCATATGGTGCTAAATATATATATTTTAGTACAAATCAGTTTGTTCTTGAATAGTGTCAACGAAGGAATGTAGCTCGTAAATTTCTATCAGCATGATCAGAATCGCTTCGTCAGAAATTTCGACAGATCAAAGTGGCACATTTGCTTATTACAGCATATTAAGTGGCACATATTTGACACAGGCCAGTTCATAAAAACCTCATCACATTTATAATTTAAATCCAGCATAGGTTCCATAGAAGTTAAGAAAGAAATTTCAACTTCTTTGTTGAAAAAAATTGATGCAACGAGTGACGACCTGGGGTTTGAAGGCTTGGTAATCTAATTCAGTACGTTTAATCAAAACAATTCTTATGTTAGAACTTCTACAAAGTATACACAGTTGTCATTTATTACATACAACTTGCTTTGATTTTATTTGATAGGACTTTTTGAAGGAAACCAACTCGTTTCAGTTGATCAAAAAATGACCAAAAATATGCCCAAATATGGTAGTCACATGACTTCCATTGTTGTCTTTAGAAATGGGGTCAAACCGGGGTCTGCTTTCCGACTTTACACAATGTATGTAATCACCAGACACGGATGGTTTTTATGGTACACCTAAAGTAGAGACCATACATATATCCACAGGGATGTGAGGCTACAAAAGAAAACTCGTTAATATGGAAATTCCATATAGTTTTTTTTAAGGGTAATGAAACTAATATTTGTATCATGTTGGATTTTTTTATGTATTACCAAATTTATTTTTTAGAACAGGCATTATCTGATAGAAATAAGATTATGTCCCCCAGATCACCATGAGGTTTAACAGTAAAGAATTAACACATATAGTGGAACAGGGTGTGGTTGATAAAGAAGGAATACTGTCCATGAAATATAAACCAGAGGGAAGAATATTTAAGAAAGAAGAAAGTAAGAATGATTATGTTAGAGTTTTGAATGCCAACTTTTCTACCTGTATGAGATTGGTAATTTCAAAAGAGAATGATTGCTACTTTGTGATTATTTTGATATATATGTCCATATATCCTATTAACTATAGAATATGTCTGTCAAAACACTTAGGAAAATTATTTTACAGGACAATTTGACATGTAAATTTTTGTTTAAAAGATTTGATATAGGTTCAAATGCTTTTTTAAATGTCTGACACTAAATATGAAAAGTTATAATATATATGTAAATAGCAAGTTTAGTGAAGTTATTTATGGCAGTAACTCTAAGTCTGAAGATTTTGGGAGTTACAAATCATAAAAATTGTAAGTTTCACAGGAAAACAATAGTATTTTAAAAAGATTCTATTAAATTTCCTAGCATGCAAATTAAATTCCACAGATATATATTCATTTTTATCTTCTGCTTCTTTCAAAATAGAACTGACATTGTAAGTTTTATTGTGATGTCATGCAAATGTACGGCCCCTGTTTCAGTTAGAACATGACAGCTTTGTTTTTGAAACTAAAAACATGATTTTTTTCTAAAATTGAAAAATATGAGAGGAATTTGTTTTAACTAAAAATGGTTCAAATGTGATCAAAAGAATACTGTAAATTCAGAAATTATTGCATGCATTTATTATTGCGATTTTTGAAGAGTGGACAAAAATGCGAGACCAATTATTGGGATTTCGGGAAAATCTGCATACTGATGTATGTATCCGTTATCAGAATGCGAGTTCTAATTATTGTGGTACTCATCTAATCGCATCATTCGCAAAAATAAAAACCTTGCAATAATTTCTGAATTTACAGTACCTTAAAAACTTATGAATCGAAAAAATGTGCATTTCTCTATCACTTGTATCTATTCTTGCTATAACAATTTTCATACGATAGTAATCCTTGAATTATTTTAAGCAGTATTCTTGGTATTCATAGTATGCAAATGCCTTCTTTTAATATGCTATTTTTTAAAATTCTAACGTGTGAACATAAATAACTTTATACATGTTGATGATAACAACAGCTGTATATATGATACATTATATGTTTAGGTATAAGCAGGATATCTGTTTATATTTATAGCATACATAACCAGACATTGTAAACTAAAAGGAAACCTGTTGTTTTATTACAAGAACAAAGAATCGGTAAGTATTTATGTGTATTTCCTCTGTATGTATATTTAGCTTGCATCGGTATATATTTTAAGTAGAATATTATATGTTTCAAAGTCTGGTATTGGTCAGATGTTATCCTTTCAAATGGACATGGGAGGGCCGAAGGGACTTACAAAATCCTGTCCACAACAAACATACTTTCTCTAGTAACTTTGACTACACAAGATACACTCAAGATATCCATATCTGTTGATGGGTTGTTGTCTCATTGATGTGTACCCTAAAATACTTCTCATTTTATTCATATTCAACCATAAATGGCCTATGCCCCTTGTCAACAAATAAAATTTCCCTTCGTATCCACCCACATTTATTTTAAATGAATATATAAGACATTTGTACAAAGCCATACTAAGCATTCTGTAAAAGTAAAGACTAATTGGCTTGGAGTCAGAATATGTTTGTGTGAGGTGTTTTAAATCATCAGACAAAATCCCTACACACACTTGACATAGACTAAAAATATCTAGGTTAGCATGCTGCCTTTTACAGTGTAAAATATCTAGGATAGCATGCTGCCTTTTACAGTGTAAAATATCTAGGTTAGCATGCTGCCTTTTACAGTGTAAACTATCTAGGTTAGCATGCTGCCTTTGACAGAGTAAAATATCTATGTTAGCATGCTGCCTTTGACAGTGTACAATATCTAGGTTAGCATGCTGCCTTTGACAGTGTACAATATCTAGGTTAGCATGCTGCCTTTGACAGTGTACAATATCTAGGTTAGCATGCTGCCTTTTACAGAGTAAAATATCTAGGTTAGCATGCTGCCTTTGACAGTGTACAATATCTAGGTTAGCATGCTGCCTTTTACAGAGTAAAATATCTAGGTTAGCATGTAGTTCTAATACAAAGCAGATTTAATACTTATTTCATTGTAGCATGTTATCATGATATCATCCTACCAATGTATTCAATATTTGCCAGAGGAAGTCAATAATATATCAATTTGAAACTTCAATAACAAAATGTTTGTTATACTGTGGATTCATTTATTTTTGTGGGTACCAATTGTCGTTGATTGAGGAAAACTTGCATTTTCATGAATATATAATTTTGTGGTTTTGCCAAAGTCTGCATACAGGCTATAGAAAATTTGTTATTCATTGCACATTATAATTACATTGTTCACCTTTACCCACGGAATCAACGAAATATTGGTATCCCACGAATATTACTGAATCCACAGTAGTACAATTTCTTTATTTAGTGGTCACCTAATAAATTAGTCACAGTTGTATTGCCAAACAATGTTTCAAAAAAACTCTTTTTTTTATGGAACAACAACAATTCATGAATTGTTTTAACTGAATTTAATTGTGATTAACAGTGCTGCTGATACATCTGTGTAGGTACCAGCAACCCCTGTTACTTTGTTATCAGTCATTTATTCTTTGGACATTCTGTACATGATCACAACTGGTTTTTTCATTTTCAAAATTGATACAAATTTTACAGATAAACTAAGATTAGATTGTTTTTTATTTGATTTTAACAATTTCAGAAAAACAATCGAAAGTCGAGCTCAGCACCATATTTGGTAATTTTATTGTTTGATGCTTACAATTGCTTTATAGATTTAGTTTTGAAATTTTAGCACATAAAAGTTTTATTGGACCATAAAATGACTTTTTAAGTAAATTATACACATCAGACTAATGTCACTATGTATAAATATTATTTGATAACTAGCTGAGAATGATGATTGAAGCACCACATACATCCTTGAAGAACAACAACTATCTGAGTCATGAGCTTCTTCTTGGCTGTATTGTCTTGGTTCAAATATTCATCTTTAGATTTAGAAATTTCTTTTATAGTTTCTTAGAACCACCAGCTTAAATTTATCTCTGTCCATTTAATCTTATAACTAATAGAAAAAATTAATGTTCTCTGAAAAAATTGAGGAAAAGTTCTTTGAATAATTTATTGTTACTGTGAACATACTTAAGCACTTATTTTGTTAATGGTAAATTAGACACAAATTCTCAATACATTAGACAGATGGTGTCCTAATTCTTTAATAATTTGTTGCTTGCTGCTTTGTTTTATTTTAATCTCTTTTTTTCTACCAATGTTTTTATCAATGAACCAATGAACTTTAAAAATATCCTAAATTGAAGAAACATAACACATTGGCCAAAAGCTTGATTGATTGTTGGTGTTTAACACATTGGCCAAAAGCTTGATTGATTGTTGGTGTTTAACACATTGGCCAAAACAAAGACTAAAATTAAAACATGAAAAATAGGAAACAGAATATAATACACAAAACTATTTGGAAAACAGTTTACTAAAAAAACAACATGTTCAGCATACATGACAAATTCTGAATAAATTAATTGCCTGTTTTTTAACTTCTTTTCTTCTGCATCTGCCTTCTTGAAATATTTTATTTTTTTGTTGCAATAATCTGGTGTGAAGTTTCTCATAACCATTCTTGATCTATATAATAATTTTGCTAGGTTTTAATTTGAGTTAGTTTTTCACAGCAATTATATTTTCAGCACTAACCTTTAAAACAAAGCACAATCCACATGAACTACATGTACATGTATATATTTCATTGCACTGTTTGCACTTTGCAAAAATAAGTCTACATGAAGTTCAGATGAATATTTCATTATTTGCTACAGCACTGATTTCATCTTTTGGACTTGTTGGAGTGCCTCAGCAAAATAACCACTATCAATCTCATGTTTTAGGCCTAGATGCCTTAATGTTATTGCGAACCAAATGAAACTTTTCCACAGAGTCATCTCCTAATGGTCAATCTATTTAAACTGTCATTGACTGTTGTCAGTTCTATTGTCCCATTAAATAAATACAATAGCTATTGTTCTCTGTGTAGTTTATTTACTGGGACCTTTAAATTTCTTCTAAGAGAAATCCATCACTCTGATTAATTTACCTGAGTAAAAAAATTATCTTCTAAGTTGATGAAAATACAAGTTTCAACTCACAAAACTGCATGTGATGTTGTATTTATTTAATATCAATAATATATTTTCAATCTGTTCAATATTAACACTAATTTAATCATAAAAAGTTGATTTCTGACATAATTTTTAGCATTGTTCCTATTGAAATTTGCATTTTTGTGTTTTTGTTTAGTTAAAGAATACATTTAAGAAGGACTTAATTTAAACATCGACATTTTCCCGTTTTTATTTTGTCAAACACACAAAAAAAAAAATTTCAATAGGAACAATGTTGAAAATTTTGTCAGAAATCAACTTTTAACACAAAAAATTCAGATTATATGTCAATGTGATATTGACCATTGTCTCTTGTTTTTGCCCACATGAAACAGCCTATATGAGGAACATGGATTATTATTTTACAAAAAAACATGTGTATTAGGCTAATCTTTGTTATATATTTATACTGGAAGAATAATATACAAGATTGACTAATCATGCTAATACACTAATTTTTTTCATTTTTATTTTTAAACAAGTTCTGACAACTAAGTCCAATGGACTACATTACTGAAATGAACAGCCCAAATATGCACTTAAAGCCTGTTATGATACTTAGTCTAATAATTTTTTATTTTTCTTAAATGGGTATGAAAATGTGTATTATATTTTCCAGAGAACAGAGCCACTAGGAGTGTTAGTATTAGAGAGATGCACAATAGAACTAGATGATGAAATAGATAATGCATTTATTATAGGTAAATATTGTTAAGATAATCGGGTAATAATATAGAGGGTAATAGAACACAACAGCTGGTGTTAGTGATTCATAGCCCTATTGAAATAGAAGGTAATGAGAACACACACAAATATCAACAGCTGATTGTCATTCTTATTTTGACTCTTGATTTTAGGGCCCATTTATCTAGACTCTGGAGAAAGTAGAAATTTTCATGTCATTTGGAGGCTCATTCTTGTATTTTTTTGTGATGTGTTACAATATTTTAATATGACTTACATGGTACACAATAAGATATTTATATACACATGCATATCTTGTAAAAGTTTCAAAACTTTTTCTGTATTTCTTTGAGTGTGTTTAGTTTCTGTATTAATGAGAGAAAAAATGTTTTGCAGTTTTTGAAGGAGATGAACCTACCTACCATTTTGCCACAAGAACAGAAGCAGAAAGAGATGAATGGATTCAGGCACTTCACCTCTCTAGTTACGAATGTCTTAAGATGCAGCTACAGAGTCTACGGGAACAGATCCAGGCCAAGACAGGACGTGACCCAGTATCACAACCTCCACCTACAGAGACAGGGATGGCATTCGAAACACAGTCTGGTGCGAATATACAGGATACTATTGTCAAAAATAAATACTGATTCTATTGGTAATCTTTTGTCATGTCAGGTGTAGGATTGGATTGTGGTCCCAGGTCATGCACTTTATTACCAATATTGTTTATGCTTGCTTGGTCTTGGGCTGAAGATTGTCTTATTTCATGATCCTGTTTGTTTAGCTGAGATGTGACAAAGTCAAAGTAGAAATATAATATGTTGAATGCTGTCCTGGCATCAATATCACCTTTCTTCAGACAAAATCTTTTTAATGATAACATTACCAAATTAAACTTAGATTATGCACAGTAGGGTTAATAGGTTAAGGTTCAAGACAGCTATCGATAAACTGAATTTTTGTTGCAAAATCATTGGTTTCGAGATGCCATTTGCAGAATCTTATGTGCAACTTTTACAAAAAATTGGGGGAAGAAGACCAATATTGATTTTGGTGGTCAATATGTCAAAGGTCACAGCAGCTATATATATTAATATACTGAAATTTGGTCAATTTTAAGCTATCCATCATATATTGTCAATAGAATATAAAGTGTTCATCGTAATAAACACATAAATTTGTTTTTTCTTTTGCTACAAGTAGATGAAGATAACACCACAGCTTATGCACCCATGGCACCTCTGATATTTTATTATTTGTATTATAACCCTTTTTTTTTTAATTATGTCTCCCTGTTTTCCCCCAAAAAATGTGAACCTTTTCCATTTGTAAAATTTAATGAAAAACAAGAATGATGAATGTATGATGATAAATTGATAACCATTATAGAAAATGTGATTCTAATGGTTTAGTGCTGCAGTTCTCTGAACATGGAAGGTTTTTCTAGATATTATTTTCTCTGTTTTAAGATCCCCGTTTATCAGGTTTTTATTTGCATTTTTTTTTTTTTTTTCAAATTTAACAGTTTCACCTTAAATACTAACTGCTAAACAAGGTGTAAATTTGCAACTGTAAAAAATCAATATGTTCTATCCTTGATGAAATTAACATTTGTTAAAGTTATAAGATTATAATTTAGCTTGTCGAGACGTTTTCTTGCCTGCTCCATAATGCTTCTGCCTCCTTCTTTATTTAAGCACTAGTGTATGTCACAAAAAGATGCATGTTTCTTTATTTAAGCACTAGTGTATGTCACAAAAAGATGCATGTACCATAATATGGACCAGTTAAAAGATTTTTTTTCTTGTTTCGTAGGAAATGCAAACACTAATGATGAGCCAGCTATGGAAATTTGCCTAGGTAAGTATAAAAACTTTTTATGAATATTAAAATTTATTTATAATAGAAATTAGGAAAAATGATGGAATAAAGTCTTAAGAGTTGTATTTATACTGGAGATGTTATTTATAAATACCATTTTAGACTCAAAATTTAGAACAGTACTTTTGGTTTCTTTTTATATGTGTTGGTCCTAATCTGACTAAAACTATCTGACTATCTGACATAACATTTTCAGTAGTATTTTTTTTTCATATGAATTAATCAAATAACTTTACTTTTAAATATACCTGGCCTTGCAGTCATTAAAATTGGAGTATGATTATCATTCTCAGACTCAGAATTCATCTAATCAAAATATTGGATTTGGTGGTTTGAGCACAAATTTTGTACTCAGAGTATTTAGTAAAGTTTTATGCCCTGAAACGTTTTACACACCACTGCAAAAAATAAAAGAAGAATGTGTCTGAGGATATGAATGCCCCCACTCAAGCTTTGCAATTTTAAATAGTTGAAAAGGTGCTTAACTCTAGAACAATAAAAGGCTAACTGCCCAATTCGAACTCTGTCTGCTAGATTTGGTTCTTAGCATTGTGTATGGGTTTCATAAAATTTGGATGAGGAAAACTTAGGTGCGGAAACGAAAATGGGACGGAAAGACGGACAGACAGATGGACAGTCAAGGGTAACACTTATTGCCCCTGTTGCCTACGGTGGAGGCATAAAAAAGCTATATCAGTGCAAAATATAAAGATGGGGACAAATATAAAGATTATTCAGTTTCTTTCATAGCTATTTTCCATCTGCAATTTTCCCAGAATTAAGTGGCAGTTTTTGAAACTATTTTCCTTGTATCATGTAAAATTATAAGGTCATCTTATACATATTAAACAAATCTGCCTTCAATCTGAAATAAAACTGTTTAGATTATTTTATTTTCTATTTTGATAGCTTGTGAAGATCTGCCTAATGACAGTTCAGCTAACCCTCCTAATCCATTTATTGTAATCTATACCATTAATCCACCCCAACAACAGACATGGGTCCAACACAGTCATACTGAAGTTGTTGAGGTAAGTCTACTATGTAACCCACCCCAGCAACAAACATGGGTCCAACACAGTCATACTGAAGTAGTTGAGGTAAGTCTACACCATAAACCATCCACAGCAACAGAGATTGGTCCATCACAGTCATATTGAAGTAGTTAAGGTAAGTCTACACCATAAACCATCCACAGCAACAGACATTGGTCCATCACAGTCATATTGAAGTTATTGAGGCCAGTTTATACTATTAATCCACCCCAGCAACAGACATTTGTCCATCACAGTCATACTGAAGTAGTTAAGGTAAGTCTACACCATAAACCATCCACATCAACAGACATGGGTCCATCACAGTCATACTGAAGTTATTGAGGCCAGTTTATACAAGGTATGTCTACACCATAAACCATCCACAGCAACAAACATGGGTCCATCACAGTCATACTGAAGTTGTTTAGGTAAGTCTACACCAGCAACAGACATTGGTTCAACAGTCATACTGAAGTTGTTGAGGTAAGTCTACACCATAAACAATCCACAGGTACAGACATGGGTCCAACACAGTCATACTAAAGTTGTTGAGGTAAGTCTACACCATAAATCCATCTACAACAACAGACATGGGTCCAACATAGTCATACTGAAGTTGTTGAGGTAAGTCTACACCATAAACCATCCACAGCAACAGAGATGGATCTAAAACAGTCCAACAAAAGTTTCTGAGGTAAGTCTTCACCATAAACCCACCACAAACATGAGTCTAACACAGTCAAGCTGATGTTATGAGGTTAGTCTATGACATAAACCCATCTACAACAACAGACATGAGTTTACACCATACTCACCATAGCAACAGACAGAATAAAAACACTCTTATTAAAGTTGTTGGCATTTAAGCACATATTTACTCATTAAAAACCATAAAACCTTAGATTAAATACACTAGATACATGTATAAAAGATGCATTAGGTCATCTTGTGTTTAAAGTCCACTATTGAGATTTTGGCAAATGGCTGGTATGAGAATGTTGTACAAAATTGTAAAAAATCAAATAAAGCAATGCTTTAAACAATCATCTTTTTTCAATTAATGTAAACACTACAGTTCAAAATATGTGGAATTAAATCTCATACTTTGAAATTCATGGATTTCTATATTTGACATATATGCAGATATTTTGCATATTTGATTTCAGAAAACAAATTCCCCCCAGTTTTTGAAGACAATAGGGTTTGGTGATTCCACTGGGATTGACACAAACACCAGGATAAAGTTAACAGTCTACCATGTCAAGGAAAGAATGACAGGAACAGTTAGTACTTAGACAGTAATACCATCGATCAAACCTTTCCTACTTACTGAGATTTGTAATTGGGTTACATTCTTTGGGAAATGTATGCAGAATAAAATGTTTAGGACTATTTAACAATTAAGAAAACTTTCTGGTACAGTTCCTGTAACTTAAAAGTTAACAATACAGATGATGATCAAATCATATATTGACAATGCCAGAACGATTAATGTACCCTTCCAAAACCCTATATAGACCCTAAGTGAATGACTTACGAAGAAACCATAAACGCTCTTTCAGCGTACATTGTATGGTTTAGTGTACATTGTTTCATTTAGCGTATAGGGTTTACATATAAATGAATCAACTGTTTTCTGTTATAATCTGCAGAATAATTAGTGATTTAACTTTATACAACCAATAACCGAAAGTAACGATAAATGATACCATAGATCATAACCTAAGTGAAACGCTGAATGATACAATTAATTATACATTAAATGAAACTCTAAACGATGCCATATACCATACTATAAACAATACCTTATATTACGGATTACAAATGTGTCGAGTTTTGTGATTGGATAACAACACAGATATGTTTTTATATATTCAGGAAACTGCCGGGGTATATTCGACGTTTTTATCCCCAATTGGAATCTCAAAAAACGTCATCATAACACCTGTTACTATGTGACGTAGTCAAAAGCTATACAGAACACTAAAGAATGTCAGAGGCTCACAGAGGGGAAATAATGACGTGCATCCGTCAATAATACATTTTTAATACAAAACCACGCAATTTACACTTCAAATACCTAAATTTAATATTTTGAAGTGTTATTATAAGTTATTACATACACGAAGAAAATTATTTTTACAGCAAATTACAAAATCCTTCTCGTATGCGGAACATATCAGGTTGGGTTTTTCAATATATGTGTTGTAAAAAAACAAAGCAACACACACATAAAAACACAAAACATGAAATCTAAAAACTTTATTGAAAACATTTTCTTAATGGAAAAAAAATTGTCAAGATAAAAAAAGGGCAATTAAATGGATTATTAAGAAATAATAAACATGTAATGAATATACATGCTGCATTGTGAATGTTTAACAAATACCTGCACTGGAAAAAAACATCAAGACAGGGGTAATCCATAATATATGTGTAATTCAGGTCTCAGACAGGGTATATACTGTGACATTCCCTTCGCCTTCGGCTCAGGGGATATAAACTCTAAGCTGGGAATGTCACAGTATATACCCTGTCTGAGACCTGAATAACATATAATACCATACGCTAATAGATACCATATACCCTAAGTAGACAGATGATGACTGGATGTTGAGCTAACACTATACAAATGCTGTACTGATGATACCCAATGGCAATATGAACGCTATACATACCATGCATGAATGGAAAAAGGTGTTAATTTTTACGTTACAGGGACTGTATAGTAGTTACCTTAAAGCACTTTTGATAGTATTCATAAGACTGACATCTTCAACAAGGGTTAGATTAATTTTCTAATTTTTTTTAAATTTTGTAATGAGTTCCTTATTAAAAAAGGGATAATCTTATACTATGAAAACAAACAACTATCTTTTCTCATAGTGTGAGAAAATCTGACAGTGAGAATAATGAAATCTTTGACTTTATTTTTACAGATGTCCCAAATGGGTCAGGTAATATTTACTGTACAGGACGTTCTTACATCTCATCAAATGGAGCTATCATTACCATTACAGTAAGTGTAATGAAACATCCAAAAGTTTTAATATTTATATCTTATCAATGTTACAAGTCTGGTCAACAACATCATAGGATTCAGACCCCAATTTACCAACATTTCTGTTTGTGGTGGTATGAAACAACACTTTCTTTTTGATTAATGATCAGTATAATGTAGTATCTTATAGAAAATGTGGTTTTAATTTGGTTATGTTTTAATAAGCTTAAAATAATATCAAACAAAATTTTCAAGGTGTTAAATAGAGAGTTATCAGAGTTGCTTCCCTTTGCCCAGTGATGTTCAAACTATGTCAATTTATTGTTTCCCAAACTTTGTTAAACCACAAACTGAATTTTGGAATGATAGTTCTAGAAATAAAACCCAATTTGCTTAGTTGACAGTTTTTTTGGTTATATTGAGGTGAAAACTTAGAGCTTCTCTCCTGTACCAAGAATTTTTTTATGTATATATTACCAGTAATTGTTTTTATCCTGTCATTTCAAATTCAATTTTTATTTTTTTAGTTTTGCTAGATAGTGATGTTTGCAAGTAAAGACACATTGAATAAATATTTATGAAAATAGAATACTTTGGTATCTATTTAGAAGGTATTGGTTGTGGTTGATAAACCATGGACATCATATGGCTAGGAATTAGTATATTAACGCTGATGTAAACTTAAAGCTTAAATAAACTGACTCCCTCAATACTGATCATGAAGTAACTGATAGGGATACAGAAGATGGCAAACAAGACTTAAATTTCAGCTTATCCATTAATGCTATAACTTTTTGTATGGCTGTATTGAATAAACTACTAAATGTATGTCAATGGAAGTCATAGGGAAGAGGAAGAAATCTGTTATGGTATTTTAATCTTTAATATTTATTAAGTAAGATAAAAGGACATTGTAAGTTCAAAATATTACAGTAACATAATAATGTGTCAAGTTTTTAAAATATTCTGAATACATCTAGGGTAAACTATTCCTGGGGTAGAAAAAGTTTGTAAACAGTTATTTATAATTATGACCATATCATTGATAATTTATGTCAACACTATTGGGTTGATGATACCCTCAGGGAGGACACCTCCACCAGCAGTGGGTACAAAAGATCATTATGACACATTTAATTCATTCATAATATAAATACTACTTAAATCAGAGGATTCATTCTTCAGTACTTAAATAAAGGAACCCTTTTGTCTGAAGAATGTTGAATAGGTCTTATGACACATAGATATTAAAGGGTACTTCTTACAAAAGTTATATATTTCTTAAGATAAACTATGATAAATATCCTTTTTCACTTCTTTCATACAATTTACTCACAAGAGTAAAGAATAGAAAAACCTAAAGGTCTTTGGTTTTCTCCAGTGATCTTGTGCAATTTTTGTGTTCTTCAATCTTTTATCTTTAACATTATAAAGGAAGTATTGTAGGTATTATATAGGCATGCAAACTTGTGAAATAAAAGGTAGTTTTTACATTTAACAAGACTGTTGTTATCAATTAAAAAAGAGATATTTTATATTTTCCATTTTGTCATAACACAGATTATTTCCTTGGTCTAATAACACTTGTGTCTTAAGAGGTAATGACACACAGTTCTACCTAAATGTATCAAATTTCTGAACGTCTTGATTAATCATAGAAGTCAAAACAATTGGTCATGATGAGCAAATGATATTAATGCCTATATAGAGTTCGTCATGTTGGCTCATCATTCTTAAAATACTACTTCACTATTATACGTTCTGGTTTGTAGTAAGAACTTTTATGAAGGTATTACCGTATTTAGAATCGGAAAACTATTAAAATTGCTTCTCCCTGTCATTCAAAGATGTTTTTTTTGGGGCCAAATTAACCATTCAGTGAAATTGATGTGTAATGTAAATGGTAAAAATCGTTTGCACTGTGCAATGAATATATAAGATTTTCCTGCACTGTGCAATGAATATATAAGATTTTCCTAGATTTACTATGCACTGCAAGAGATTTGTTTATATGTAGCTGTTTTTTAAAAATCTAAACACACACAAATTACGTTTTGTAGTTTATTTATATGATGATAGAAAATATTTATGAATAAAAGGAAAACCAGGAATTATCTGAATGAGACAGTAACCCATCAACACATAAATTAAAAGACATCTAAAGGTCAACATGCAGTCTTTGAACAATGGACATTTTCTTTGCAATATGTCAAGCTCTAAATAGCCTTAATAGAATAAAGTTTAGAAAAGTTGTCAATAAATTTAACAGAAAATATCATAGAACTGCCATCAAACTCACTGATAGCTCTGCTCGAGGGATGTTTTAGTTGAGGGTTGATACAGTGTGTGATGTCTAAAAAGTCATATCATATACACTATATTATATCCTTGGTAGTAAATACAAGTAAATGGCAATTGTGCTGTTTCAGCCATCTGCGATTATATTGTTATCAGTCAAGGTTTCAAAGGCTTTATCAAAACCATAATCCGCATAATGTCACGTCATGTGAAAAACATCCACCTGAGGTAAATAATAAAGTGTGTATGAATTGCAGAGCTCTTGTGATTATATTGGTGTCTCGGGTTGATACAAGTGTGATATTGAAAAGGATCAGCTATTAGAAGAAAAATTACTTCAATAATATAAATCACAGAAAGTGATATTATACTGTTGATCAAGCAGTCAATCAAGCTACTAATATTTAAGTATTGATGAAGTATTGGAGCCCAGGGGTTACCACAGGCTATTTAAGGCTGGTGCTAGTCCACCCTTGAAATGTTAGCCCCACTATTGGATTTCCAGCACTAATCTTGATTTTCTCATCATAAACCTTAAGTTTTTAGAATATATAAAATAAGTTTGAACAATATTTCTTAATTATTATAGTTTTAAAAGACTTTAATTAAATTTTATTTTGTTTGTCATAAAAGTCAGATACATAAGCATGACATATACCTAGCTGTATTCAAGAGTTGCAAAATGCATAAAATTTATAAATATTTTTCTACATTTAAAGTTATCTTATAAATTCCACCCTTGAATTTTTTTCTATGGTGAACCCTGGACATGCTGGGGTCTTTACCAATATATTTCCTGGCAATGACATATATAATGAAACATGTACTAATACTGCTAAGACTGTGAAACAGGGTAGAAAACTTTAGATGCTGTTTATTAAGATACTATAACATTACTGTTAAACCATTCTTATTGTTATTTACCTTATGTCATGAAGTTAGATACAGGATAAGAGTGATCACTTCCTGTTGATGGTGATTCAGGATATAAGTTATTTATCATGAACTACTGTCACACAAAACATACAAAAAGGTAGGTATTATCTTATATATTACAAACATTGATTTGTACTTACTTCAGTTTTGTTTTTTCAAAAATGTTATTTATTAATAAATGTAATTTAATTAGTGAAGCATGAAGAACTATGCCTTTTTTAATTTTTAATTCGTAATTTGGTTTAATTCAAGTTTTAATATAAAAAAGGTTGAATTGAACTGTAACTTTGGTTGGCCGTGTAGTTCATCTACTGTATCACTAGCCTGTCAACACTGAGGTTGTGAGTTCATACCCAACTCATGGCGGTTGTGTTCGACTCCAATCTTTATTGACTTGGGTTGCCAGTTTTCCTTCCAAAATTAATAGTTCTCTCTGTTTACTCCAGTTATCTTCAACGATAAAAACTGGCATCCATGATATAGCTGAGAGTGCTGAAAGTGACATTAAACACAAAAAATCAATCAATCAAACCGAACCACCATAAGGTATTTTCTTAATCAAAAAATTTTTTACATAAAACAGGGCCTTTGAATCTGCTATAATTTTTATTATCCTTGGACCATATATTTAATTACTGTTTATTCTTGAATGTCTGTATCATGTGAATTAATTTCTTCATCAAATTAGAGAAAATCATTGATTATTTTAATATTAGTTATATGTAGAAAGTGAACAGATGGTTGTTATGGTAACCTAAAGCCATTTATAGAATCTTGATTCCATCATTCTGAAAGTAAAAGTATATTAAATATTGATTAATGCTGCTTATAATTAAAAGAATAATGTTTGATGACCATGTCTTCTTGTCACATTCTTTTCGTGTATTTGCTGATGAATCAATTGATATTTTGTTGTTGTCATATATACATGTAACAGGAAACCAGCTTTACTTAAAAGAATTCATTATGACATACCTATCTTGACCTTTTATTTTTAATACACTTTGGGTAAATTTTAATTTGTCAAAGTTTCTTCTAACAGATTTTTGATGTATGTATGCTCAATAATAATGAGATATTATATGATATTTCAGTGGTGCTGTACGATTTTTGTAAGTGAACCCATCAGTTGGTATTTTTCTGTACATAATAGTGTGATGTTTCAGAGATTTTATTAACTACCTTCTATTTTATAACATCCTATAGTAGTTTTAAGATGCTTTACTTTGTTATTCTGCTATACATATATAGGACTTTGAGTAAACACACATTTTGTTCAAATGCACATCTTTTCTATCAAGATCTGTTTTACACACTAAGATGAAGAGGTATTTTTTAATTGAATATAACATGACTTATGGTGACCTATAATTGCTTTTATCTTCGTCATTTGATCTTTTGTGGATAGTTGTCTCATTGGCAATTGTACAACATCTCCTTATATCAAGTTCACAATGGTTAGATTGTTTATAGATTATACTTGAAATTTTTTTTATTAAAGATACTTGGCTTATGATTTAGTATGTCAGAGGTACATTTCATCTACAAATGAATCATCAGTGGTGCTCTAATAGAAATAGTTGGAAAGCCAAATCCATTACAAAGTCAAAAGGCATTGCAGTCAGAAAAAAGTAAACAAAGAACACTTGAAAAATAAAAAATAAAATAAATGGTCAATCCAAGGATGATGAATGATTGGCGTTTTACATCCAGTGGCAAATCTTACATGCTTTGTACTAGACCTACACTCAGATCTGGATTTCAACATGCTAGTTCACAGGGTA